AAAGTAGATATTTCTGAAATTCCCTGGTGCTAACCACTGAAGCAAGAATGTTGAGACCACTTCAACATTTTCCATTGATAGTTTAACAATGTTATTATGTGAGTCTCAAGAAGCACTCTAGGCATATATAAAAATACTTTGTAGTTCACCTTTGTATTTTGTTCAAAAATAAGTTTCAATCAAACTGTGAACTTGCATGACAATCTTTCCTGATACTGAATGTCCATGGACCCGACTTAAGTAAAACATATATAAAGTATTTCTGCTTATACCTTTCCTCCTAGATGAAAATGTAACCCTTCTTTAAGCCTTCTAGAGTCATACAATGCTCTTAATAATGCTCTAGAAACCAGACCTGAGCAGGAACTAACACTAGAATACACCAAAGGAAAATTAATTGATGAATATGACAGAAGGAAAAAAAAATATGCACAATGAAGAAAACAATAAAGCCCTTAAGGTGCATAAGAGTGCAAAGCAAAACAAAGAAAGTAGAGCGTGTTTTCACTGTAAAAAGACTGGTCACCTTAAAAAAGGACTGTTCAATCTGGAAAGCCGAGCAGTGAAAGTAAGAGGCACCTATAAGAGAAAGAGCTAAGGCAGCCACAAGGCAACTGCAGGCACTTCATGGAGCACTACCTTTAACGTGACTCAGATCAGTATACCACGCGGATAGTGTATTGACTCAGGCGCAACAAGTCACATGATCAGTGATGAGACCTTTTTCACAGAAATTGATTTCAGTGCAAAGGACAACGTTTTCCTAGCAAATGGGAAAAGTATTACTGCAGAAGGTAATGGTCAAGAATACTTGAACTGCGTCACACCATCAGGGGATTAGCAGAGTAGCCTTGTGAAAAATGTACTGTATGTTCTAGAACTAGAAGGAAGCCTTCTGTCAGTGAAAACCCTTGCTAAGAATGGTCTCACAGTTCAATGCCGAAGTGATGAATGTACAATCTGAAACAATAAGCAAGTCCTTGCAAAAGGAAAATTGGATGAACACCTATACTGACTCATCACAGCAGACAAACAAGTCAAGACAGCCACTCATAATCCACACAACAAGGCTTATCAGAAGATATGACCGTACTGCTCTGCCAAATGCCCATGACATGCAAATGCCCCTTGGGAGGGGGCTTGCTCACATTGCCCACTCCCAAGGGGCAGCCTCCAGATGGCCATGTGGAACTTCTTTTCGGGGTGGTTCCAGAAAAAAAGTCCATATTAATTCTACTCTGATCCATGCCCCTTCCACTTGATCAGATACTGGATCTGGTCCCCACGCCTCCTGCAGTTTATTATGGCTTCAACGTCAAATTCCTCCTTACATTTGACCATAATAGGATCAGCAGGACCCGCAATATGATCAGAGAAAAGATTGGACCCACAGGGTTTCAGTAAGGGTACATGGACTACAGGGTGAATTTTATAGGAATGTGGAAGTTCAAGCTTGTAAGGGCTGGGTTGATTATTTTATTGACAGAAACGGACCAATATACCTGGGACCAAGTTTTCTAGATGAGCAGGCCAACTTTAGGTTTGCTATTGACAGCCGGACATGGTCTCTGATCTTCAGGTCCAGCCCTCCCCTCCTTTTTTTGTCAAAGTCCCTTTTATTGTGTGTCTAGGCTATAGTCACAGCTTCTTTCAGCATTTGGCAGCTGGTGGAGAGAAACTTCAATCGATCCTGGGCTACAGGTAATGAAGAGTCTGGAAATGTCAAATGGTAGAAAAGCCGGATGAAAACCATAATTTGCAAAAAAATGGTGACTGGTTGGTGGTTTATTGTGTTATTATATGCATTTACAGCCATATGAAGTTAAGCAACCCAGTTGTCCTGTGATGAAGAAAAGCAACAGAGATATTGTTCTACCTTTTGGTTGGTTCCTTCTCTCTGTCTGTTGGTTTGTGGGAGATAAGAGGAGGACAGACATAATTGGCATTCAGTTAGAGCAAGATTTAACGTAGACTTTACAATCTGCTCCAAACTTGGCCACCAAAAATAGCATTGAACTAAATTTAAAGTCTCATGGACCCCAAAGTGCCCGGCTAAAGGAAAATCATGTCAAAGGTTAAGAACAGCTGTGTGACAGTTCTGGGGTATAAAGATCCTTCCATCATGAAGAAGCACACCATCTTCTTCCTGAACATCCATGCCAGGAGGTACAGAATTTCTGGAGGATGCTTTGCGGATCCGAGAGTTAGGATCCGTCTGTAACAATAGAAACTTTCTAGCTTGCAGGATCGCAAGAGGTATTCCCCATTTTGCCTGTTGAGGGTTCAAACGTCTGGCAGATTTCAGATATTTCAGGTTCTTATGATCAATGGATATCAAGATCAGATAAGCCGCCCCCCTAGTAGATAACACAACTCTTTCAGTGCCAGCTTGATTGTCAAGAGTTCTCTATTGACTAAATAATAATTTCTCTCAGCAATATTTAATTTACTGGAGAAGAATGCTACTGGGTGTAACAGATTTGGGTCCCACACACTGAGACAAGACAGCACCCACTGCATTCTCAAAGGCGTCCACTTCTAAAACAAACGGCTGTGCAGGATCTGGGTACTTCAGAATGGTCACTAAGGTAAATAGTCTCTTTAACTCATGAAAGGCAGTCTGAGCTGCATGGTTGCCACTGAAACCACAACTGCTTCTTGGG